TGCAGGCACTATAATCTATTACCATAATATTTGGGAAGATACAATAGGATTTATTTTGGGGGTTTTTAGGCTTTTTCTATCAAGATACCAAGAGGGGGGCTGGATCCACACAGCATACAAGCTTTGCTATTCCACTGCTGTGTGAAGCCTCCAGCACAAGAGGAACACAGAAGAAGCAATGAGCAACCCCCAAGCCTCTGCTGTAGCAGCATCCCCCAGCAGTCATGATCACTGTAGTTCCCCTTCAACTAAAATACACTATTCTATTCATGAACCAGCAGATGACACTTATGGTGTTTAAATGCCAGCTAAGACCAGAGCTGGGTTCCTAAAATTATCTGAGGGGAAATGATGCCAAGAAGCCACCCTTACCAGCTGGAACTCCATCACTTTCTCCCATCTCTTTCTTTTTTTAACAATTCCTGTGAATGTTCCTCTTCATTAGGAACTGTAGTAATAGGACAAGGGGGTAATGGGTTCTAACTTAAACAGGGGAGATTTAAGTTGGATATAAGGAAGAAGTTCTTTATTATGAGGGTGGTGAGGCACTGGAATGGGTTGCCCAGAGACATTGTGAATGCTCCAACTCTGGCAGTGTTCAAGGCCAGGTTGGACACAGGGGCTTGGAGCAAGCTGCTGTAGTGGAAGGTGTCCTTGCCCATGGTAGAGGTTGGAACTGGATGAGCTTTAAGGTGCCTTCAAGCCTAAACCACTCTATGATCCTTTAGTGACAATTCAACATTTCACACTTCTAGCTCACCACTGCCTCACCACCCCCTTAGAACAGCCTGAACCTTGAGCTTTGCAGATTAAAGCCATACTTAAGCCAGACCAAGGGGACACAAACCCACTCCAGAAGCCCATTTCATTCTGCAAGAGTTACCAGGCTGCGCTCAGACAGGGGAAAAAGAAGAAGAGAAAGGGAAAAGCAAAGCCCATGCACGCACGCACACGCGCACACACCTTTTCTATGCTCTCACACACAACCTTTAAAAAGAAACTTTCCAAGAGTTCAGCTGAAGTTAAAACAAAGCGAGTAACGTGAGACTCGGTGCCGGAGCCGAATGGAAAGTACACGGAGTCCGACTGACCCGCGCTGCCGTCCAGCGGCTCCCGCGAGGCCACCCCGAATACAGCTCCCTGCTTCTGCTGGAGCCACATCGCCACCCGCCAGGGGTGGTGCAGCTCTGGCTAAAGAGCCATAAACTGAAAATAAATAAATTAATGCAAGTAAAGGGAGGGGAGAAAAAGAAATCCCAAAGAGAAAAGGCCAAAAGGAAATGACCTCCCCCACTATTAAATAGGTGACAGACGGGTATTATAAAGGCATCACGGGTTGGAAGGGAAAGGAAGGGCGAGGAGGTGACACATCAGCTCAAGGAGAGGCCGGGAAGGGGACAGGACCATGGATGAGTGCAACCACACAGTAGTTTCTTAGTGACAGCCAGGACATACACGGCAGGACCGCTGTTGGCAGGACACATCCAGAGCAGCAACTAGGAAAAGCGAGTGACCACAAAGCACTAAAGGGAGGGAAAGGAGCCTCACAGACTCTGGTTACACCAAAGGGACACAGGCTTGGGTTGCATGGTAATATTTTCCAACCAACTGCAAAGAGCTATATTAATTCCTCCAGCTTCACTTGCCTTTGAATATGATCATAAGAAGAGGTTCACAGAGCAGCAACATCCTGTTCTCCACACTCCCACCACAGCCAGGGGGCTATCAGAGCTCTCTTTTATGAGGCAAAGAGCAAGCAGACTGAAGCTGATTACTTCAGTAATTACCTAATTACTCTAAGCACTCCCAGCCCACCCCATCTCCACCGTGGGACGGGTGCAGCTGGAACTCCCACCTGCAGCTTGTCCTGTCACATCTCATGCAGAGCACTTCATCCCACCACCCACTGCCAGAAGTTCCTGAAACCTTCTGGGCTTAAGAAGCTCAAAGCTCACAGAAAACTCTGGGACCCAGGTTTGCTGAGGAGCTCATGACTGGAGCAGTCAATATCTCAATAGCACAAATGGGAGATAATGGGAGGGCTGGGGACACTTCTCCCAACTGGGCTACCCTTGGGAAGTGTGTCCTGCCTCGGCTACTCCACCACCTGCATCCTGCCCACTGTCCAGCCTTTCAATGCAATCAGTAGTTTGGTGTATGTTCTTCAAGCCATGGTGGTCTCCTGTGCTCTGAATGATCCTGCATCAGACATCAGGGCACACACACAATGGAGATAAGCACCTTTCCCTTTTTTCCCGCTTGTTTTGTCCAACCTCTGCCTCTTGCTGGGGGGAGGTAAACGGTTTGGGCAGAAACTGGGTATTTAGGAGCACACCAGATCCTCAAAGTGGGATGAACCTCAAGAGAACGGGCACCTTGGTTTGCTTGCTCAGGACCACATCCAGTCAGAGTCAAGTGTCTCCAGGGATGGATACTCCACATCATCTCTGGGCAACTTTATTCAATCTTTGGCTATCCTCCCTATTAAAAAAAAAGCTTATTCTTATATCTAGGTGGAATATCTTATATTTCAGTCTGTGCCAGCCAGCAAGGCCTCACCCTGGCCATGGAGGCCAATAGATCCACATATGAGTGTAGAAACCTCATGGGGTGCCCAGGATGTCACCCTGAGACCCCAAACCAAGAGGCCACAAGCCCTTTGAGAGGAGATGCAGATGGATATGAAACAAAAAAGGTTGGAGATTCAACTCATTTTATTATGGAAGTCTATAAAATAGCCACATGGATTATTTTATTTATTTTTAAGATCACAAAATACACAACATCCATTTTAATATGTGACACAGAATATTATATACATATTAAAAACCACATGACTGAAACACATGTTCACACGGCACCAATCTCATAACGAAAAACCCCACAAGTGCTTTTTTCCTTTTTTTTAATATTAAAAAACAACTGTGATAAAACATATTAATATTTTTTCCAGACACTGTTTACAATAAAGAGGAAAAAACCCAATCATATTTTACTAAAGAACAAATATTTAACAGCAAACCTTTGTACTAAATATCTATTTTGAATTATAACAAAAATAGTACTTAGAATAGTTTATAAAGACAGACCAAAAAAAAAACCCAAAATTTTGCGTATAAAATAATATTATAGCAAATTGGACTGTGCTAAGAAAAAAAAATCAAAAAATTCTGAGATTCAAAGTGCTTTATTCTGCAAACCCACTGCAGCAACTTTTTTAGTCAAGTTATGTTAGTTAGGAATGGAAAAAAATAACACAAAAGCATGACTTACTTATGCTTAGATTAAATACACACACAAACATTATATATACACATGATGTAAGCATATATATATAATGGATGTGTGCATCTGACATTACCGCTCTCCAATCAACCACTCACTCAAAAGCATGTTTGGTTTTCACTTTGTTTTTCACACTGGAAGTTAAAATCATTCCAGTGAAACCCTTCCCACAAGCACACATGGGACCGAGCTATTATGGAGAACTCTGCCAAAGAGATTTTGCTCACCACAGGGCAGCAGAAAGCCACCCATGAGCTTTAACCAGACCTTTTAGACTTATCATCCATTCCCTTCTCCTGCTTTTCCCCTTTTTCAGCCTCCTTTCCCCTGAGCACAGCTTTATCACCCCTCTGACAGGTCTCAGATGGAAATGAAGGCTCCCAGAGAGCAGTCGGTGATGGGTCACTGATGGGTTTTCACCCTGCAGCCCATCCACCTTCTGCCTCTGTCCCCATGTCCTACAAGTGCTTGTCATCCACAAAGACCATGGGCAACCTCATTTGCCACTTTCCCTTCCCAAATGTCTGCCCCTAGGAGACTTATCCCTTCCCACAGTATTCAGGTTTATGTTCTCCTTCGCTTCTTTGCCTTTTGGGATTTTGATTGTGGTTAAGCTCCTTTTATTGTCAGGAAGGTTTTCTCTCCACCAGGGACAAGGAAAACACCTGAAATCTCAACAGTGCCTGAGCTAGTGGTGTTTCACTCCAAATTTCCAGGCTGGCAAAGTAACTAAGCCTCTGCTTCAGGGACACCATGCACAGAGAGAGACTCCTGAGACCCTGCTATAGGGTTTGGCACATTGTCAACCAGAAGGCAAGATCTGGGTCTGAATGGCATCTCCTAGAAGTCTGGGAGTTTAATTTCAGGTTAAATCACCCTGAAAAATCAAGCTGTGCACCCTGGTGTGAGTGGAGACCATCCACTGGGGTGCTCCTGGAGGGTCTGTGGCAGCTTGGCTAGCGGCAATCCAAACTCAAGTGCTTCCCCTGGCTAAAACACTGCCTCCCTCCTCCTTGCCCCCACCAGACGATGGGCTGGCAAAGGCAGCCATCACCATCACTCGCTTCACACTTCCTTTGACCTTCCAAAGAGGCACCCACTCATCAAAAGCACAACCTGCAAAGCAACCTGGTAAGCCACATCTGCCCCTTCACCCTTTCTTATTTCAACCCCTTTGACTTATCTGGACACGTTTAAAGCTGAAAGCCAAGCTGCCTACCCGAGCACAAGATCTTTTCCTATCACAGTTAGGAGAGGTCTTAGCCATGGTCCTTGTGTTGGTCTTTCCACCATGGAGGGCAGCAGATAGGAGAGGAGTGGGGCAGGATGGGCAGGGATGCTTCAGGTCAGAGAGGATCTCCCAACCTGGTGCTTGGCTCTGATCTGGATCAAACGCCTGCTGAGGTGCTTGGGGAGCTTTTGTTCTGCACCCACATGCAAGGCCATGTCTGTTTTCAACACAAGCCACCCATCTCACACTCAACCCAGAAGCCTCTTGCATGCATAAAGTAAAGAAAATTAAAGAAACCCACCCAGGAAACCAAATGCAAGATACCTTGGTGACCGCTTGCTTGTGCTGGAGAAGCTTTGGGCAGGGTCCATCTCCTGGATTAGTGGTGGAATGGGGCCAACAGCTTGCAAAGAGCCCACTGTTCACTCTCCTTCCTGCTGAGCTCTTCCCATCGCCAAACAAAACCCAAACACAAGACAAACAATGCAGATGTTGGCTTATTTATAGAGATCACCTTTAATGCAAATACCTCCTGTGGAAGAGGACACACTGAAATGAGCAGCTCCGAGTGGGTGGCTTTGCTCGGTGCCGTGGTGCTTGCAGAGCCACGGTGGGTCGGCAGGGCCATGCATTTTGGTGCCTGCACCTTGAAAGAGAGCAAAGGCACCACAAAATGCCCCTAAAAGGATGCCTTTGCATGGGAAAGGGGCTAGTGAGGGGCTGCGGTGGGGGAATGGGTGCACACAGGCCGTGTAGCAGCAGCAGGAAACTCAACGAGAACAAAAAGGACACCCCTTCCCTTACCCAGCACCCCAAATGCAGATATGCACTTGTCCAAGGCCTCAGGGGGATGGCTCCCCAGCCATTCAGGCCCAGACAAGACACCACAGGGTTTTTAGGTCCCATAGCAGGGGCAAAACGGCAGCTCCACCTTCCCCGCTTGCCCTGGAGAGGGGATGGGAATGGGCATCACTTGTCTCCCCCTCACCAAGGAAAGCCTCCAATGCCCCGAAACAAAAAACACAGCCAAACAAACGGGAAAACCCAACAAAGCCACAAATAAAAAAACCCCAAAACACTGTTATCACCAGCTAATTTAACACTGTTGAAAGAAAAAGATCAGAGGCCACCCGAGAGCCACCCAGGCACACCAGACCTCTGATCATGGGCTGATTTCCAAAGCCTTTCCCGCAGCCGGGCCTTTGCAGTGCTCCTCCTGGCAGCAGAAGTGTTTTATAGATATTTATATATATATTTATAATATTTAGATACTGTGTATGGTCAGACATCCCAGCTCGCCTCGGGTTTTGGGACTCTACTCCTTTCCAACAAAAGGAGATGCACGGCGACATCTTCTCTGCTCCACATGGGAAGAGCAAAACGGTTTTGGCAGCTTCACCGGTGGAGAAAGCAGTCCTGACCTGGAGGCTCTGCGAAGTGAGCATCGTGGAGAAGCTCCTCATCCCTCTGTCCTCCCCTCCTGTTCGTCCCCTTGTCCCCATCCCAACCCTCCATTCCCCGGCTGCCCATCCCTCATGCCACCAGCGTGGGCTTTACACCGTTGCCCCCAGCATGGCATCTGTCCCCGTCAGGATCTCATTCTGGTTAGAATCCAGTCCGAAAAATTTGACCTTGAGTCCATCAACTGGGTGGACCACGGGCACCAGGGTGATTTTGGGGAAAGTCCTGGTGGCAAGCTCAAAGCGGCTGGTGCTGGCCAACTCAATGGCCAATGCTTTGAGAAAGAGCTTGGCCAGGTGCTTGCCCAGACAGGTCCGTACGCCTCCTCCGAAGGGGAGGTAGTGGAACCTGCCGTCCTTGTCTTCACTTCGACCCTGACCAAAGCGGTCAGGGTCGAAGACATCCACGTCCTTGAAGACGGGGGCAGTGTCGTGGGTGTCCCGGATGCTGTACATCACGCTCCAGCCTTTGGGGATTTGGAAACCCTGCAGAGAAGAGAGAAGGGGTGGAGAGAAAACCGGAGTCAACTCTACTGTAAAGAGAGAGGGAGCAGGATGACAAGATAAAACCATTTTGCTTTGTCTGCTTTTTCCCTTTTTCTTTAGGTTTATTACTCAAGCATGATGTAGACTTAAAAGAAAACCAGAAAGCGCAGAGCAAAGAGCTGGGAGATGGGAATCCTGAGTTTATTCCTGTCTCTATCCCAGGGACCCTCCTGATGATCCATTGTTATTTATTTGCTTTGTGGTCACTGGCAGGAGTTGCCTACCAGGAGCCCCGTGGTGCTTGACTGCCGCCGAGCAGCTCCCCAGAGCGTCCCATGACTTTGCTCACACCCTGCCTCCTGTCAGCTCAACGCCCAATGCACATGTCAGGGCCTGGGCGATGAGAAACGGGGTGGATTTATCATCCCCTGAGCATTTTAAAAGGTTTCCGACTCAAATCATTACATTAATAGGATTTACAGCAACAAGCCAGGTCTCAAGATTTTGTTTTGCTAGTAGGAAATTCCAGCCATCGTGATGAGTAATCTGCCTGTCATCCAGCAGCCTGGAGATGCCCTTTGCAGTAAACCTTTCCCTTGCCACACCCCAGCTCAGATTTTGGCGTCAAACCCTGTCACGAGTTGCTCTTTGAAGCATCATGCCTGTCTCCTCTTTGACAGTTCAAGTGCATCCCTTCCCTGCCATGGGCCAGATCCCATCACTCTACTCTGAATCCACACCAGTTCCACCTCCCATCACCAGCAGGACCTAATTCATCCTCCCTGAGGTCTCATCTAAGCCAGGCTCAAGCAAGATTTGCAATAACATGCAACAACAAGGCTGTTTTGGGGAGCTTGCGGTGTAGCCGCACCTTGGAGACATGGCAATACTCACATCCAGCTCGAAGGTTTGCAGCACCGTCCGGTACCCCCCAGAGATGGGGGTGAAGAGGCGAAGCACCTCTTTGATGACACAGTCCAGGTACTGGAGGCTGCTGATGTTGTCGAGCCGGAGGGAGCCCTCACAAATGCAGCCGTTGTGGAGGATGCCTTTGCTGCGCAACTCCTCACGCAGCTTCTCCAGGACCCGGGGGTGTTTGAGGAGCTGCATGATCAGAGAGGTGCTGGCACTGGCAGTGGTAGCATAGGCGGCAAAGATGAGCTCCAGGGTACCATCCTGAAAGATAAGAGCAAAGCCAGGCTAAGACACAGGGGATAGGCAGATAGACAGACCAACAGCTATGGCATATCAAGGGACAGGCATACAGGATGCCATGGGGCAGTTCTTTTCCCAACAGCGCTGGCATATCAAGGGACAGGCACACAGGATGCCATGGGGCAGTTCTTTTCCCAGCAGCTCTCCAGCTTGGTCAAGTCTAACTGCAAGGTATCTCCATGTCCAGGCACAGGTCTTGGACACCCACCATGGACAGCTTTCTGCAGAGCTTTGAAGGATGCTGAGGACCAGACAGGCAGGAGAAAAAACCCTGGGGTTAGCACATGAAGGACAAGTTATGCCATGACCCTGCTGCAGTTTACAACTTGCCAAGGGCTCATATGCCCTGCAAAGAGGACATCATAAAACTGGATGGGTCAAGGGATGAAGCTGGTCAAGCCTGAAAGCTCCAGAAAACTTGCATGGTCTTTTGGTATTCCCTGGAAATGCTTTTTTGAAAGGACTAAGTGTAATGTACAAATAAAAATGCCCCATAGGAAAGCAACCGGCTTGTTGGCATCACAACCCACCAGACCAGGATCCATCTGCAGCTCCAACAACACATTGTGGTCCCCCAGCTCTTACTGATCATCTCAAGTTGACCCCAAAAAGTCCTCCTTACAGAAGCTCATGCTTTGCTCTTCAGGGAGCCCTGGCGCTGAGGAAAGCAAGCAAAAGGTGACCATGAGGAAGCTCTTTACCTTCAGCTCCTGCATGGTTAGCTCCTTGCCATGCTCTTTGCCACTCTCTATCAGGATGTCCAGTGCATCAGCATAGTCCTTGCCCTGCGTGTTCTGCAGCTTCTCTTGGATGGCTTTCTCCAGCCCTTTCTGCAGTGTCTCACGTGCCCGGATACCCTGTGGAGCAGGAAGCCATCAGACCACACAGGACACAATGTCAGCACCACCATCCCCAGCCCAGCATCCCCAGGATCTTGAGACGTGCTGAGGACAACATATCTAAGTAATACAACTGCAATTGCAGATGCTCAAAGAGAAGTATAAAGATGCTGAAGTTGTTCCCCTGGGCAGGAGGAGTAAACTCAAAGTAGGCGAAATTACAGGCAGGAGTAATCAGCACCTATGTGCAAATGATAGGTCTGATGTGGGAGCCCCAGTACTGCACCAGTTCACAGGCCTCCGGCTCACCCTGGGATGTATGGCAGTCCCTGGGAAAATTGTTTCTCAAAGGAAAGTCAATTCATCTGAAAGGATCCTCTTCCCGGGATCGTAATGGGCTTCCCAAGCAATTTTATCACCTGGACTCAGTAAAGTAATTCCTATCTGAGTGCAGTTGCACCGGGTTAACCTGCTGCTGCAGATGCTTCAGAGTGGCAAATGGGCTCATTCCAGTGGTCAAATAACAGGGACAAAATTTGCAGTGATAATCGCAAGAAATAGATATTAAACCCCAGATTTCTATTACCAAAATTCACCATGAAAAAAAAAATATGTATTTTTTGTCAGTGTTTTTTGTTACATTTTCATTTTGCATCGTTCATCAAAAAACTGGAATAGTTCTTGGAATCTAAATGTCCACTGACCTATTTTGCCCTGGGGACAGGAGGGAAGTAACAGGAGAAAAGTCCCACAAACAAATAAATGCAGCAAAACTGCCAGCTACAAGTGAGGAGAAATGGCTCATTAAACCTGGGCGAGTCCTGACTGCCTTCTCCCTTGCATTAAACCGCCGTCCCTAGCACTCTGAAATCCTGTGAATGGATCTTCCTCTCCACTCTATCCAAATTGAACTTTATAGCCCCAAATGGACTTGCTTCTAGAGGTCAGAGGGTGAGAAAACATCCCACCGGGAGCCTATAGAGTTGGAGATTCTATAGCAACCACGATAGATAGATAGATAGATAGATAGATAGATAGATAGATAGATAGATTCTATACCAACCACCCCATTAATCTCAGGTGGGTGCTATTGGCAAGTGGAGGACTTGACCCTAATCTCTTACCCTCCTGTAGCCGCTGAAGGGCAAATCCACAGGCAAGGAGAAGACATTCTCCACGAACTGCTGATAGACCTCGAAGAGGCGGTTGAGCTCCTCATCGGGGATGCGGAATCCCAGCAGGACACGGATGGCCATGCGGAAGGTGAGCTTCTGAGCCTCGTGGTAGACATTGATGGACTCAGGGTTGCTGCTCCAGGCCCGAAGAGTGTCTTTGATCACCAGCTGGATCTTGGGGAGATAGCTCTCCAGTGCCTCATGGCTGAAGATTTTGGAGAAAACCTACAAAAGAGAGCAAGCAGAGGTTTCTATGCAGTCCCAGCACCCTACTCTTTGCCTTCTGCAGTAACCAGCCTCTGCCCACCAAAACGGACGTCACAGATCTCCTGTGCGGAGCAGGTGTCATCATCCAGAATTCATCATCCAGAAGCACCAATTCCAAAAATAGCTGCCAAAAAGGTTGATGGAGAAATATCAGCTGATCCCCACTACAGCCATCACAAATCATAGAATCGAGTTGCTCAGAGCCACGTCCACCCTGGCCTTGAATGTCTCCAGGGACAGTGCATGTACCACAAATGATGGGCAATAACACGGTGCTAAGGAGAGATGGGAGGAAACGCTTCACCCTGCACACAGAGGGACGGATGGAACCTGCTTTCCCACAGCTCCATGTCTCAAGGCTCCCAGTCACATTCACCGCATGATTTGGATGCTACTAATACATCTTTTCCGTGGGGATTCTCTGCTGACTACCATGATTGTGCACTCAGGCAAACACACACAAGCTTTTCTCTCAAAGGGAAGGGCTGGCGGCTTCTCCCACCTATCAACCCCTTTTGTTAATATGTGTAAAAATGAAGTAGTGCTAGTATTTTGAGGCATTTAGGGTCTCTGTGCAATCTAGCTGAGCCCAGACAAGGGTTCAAGTGAGGAAGAGAAGCACACACGTACACAGAGGCTGCACTCGCACACGGTTCATTTGCTTGGGAAACCAGGGAAAAAACCCTGATGTCAGCAGATACTATTAATTTAAGCTCTGTGAGTAAACACTGGACAGGAGTGGACCTCCCCAGGTCCCCGATGCTAGCGGCTCCTTACTCCAGTTTTGGGCTAGGGCCCACGTTGCACGAGGAGCTCAGCAATGCCAGGAATGTCCCTTCAGCCCTCCCCGGCGCAGCCCACAGCACACGCTTTCATTCGGCATCCCCGGCCGCATCCCTCCCAGAGTGCACCGGAGGAAAAAGTGCTGTTTGTTTATATTTTATTAACCTCCACACACACATACAGACACACAGACACATGAGGGGCCGCATGCAGCACGCACGCACGCACCGCCACATGCCAGGCCTCCGGGCAAATCAAATCAAAACAGGCTCCCAAGGAGGGAGCTGCAAGCTGGTGTAGCCTCCACCGGTGGCCAGCTCCCAAAGGGGGCTTTAATGCATGGTGGGGGGGCTGCAAAGTTATCGAAAGAGGAGAGAAATCAAAGCCACCCCCTCTTTCCATGAGCGCCGGGCTCGCTGGAGCTGTAAATGTGAGAATTTCCTCCGCAGTCAGCACTCAAAGGGAAAGGTAATATTTTCCTGGCTGCGACCCCTCATTGCTAATGCACATCGTTCACTGGGAGTTTGTTTGGTGAAATAACACCTCTGTCCCCTCGCAGCCCCCAGGCAGGAGGCTCGACAAGAGCCGCTTCATAATGAACCGGGCTGAGCCCTGAGTAAAACTCATCGCACAATACACGGTGGGGCCAAGCTCAGAGGCTCCTGATGGAAATGCCAGCATGCAAACGGCATGGGAAAGAAACTGCAGTCAGACCAACAGACAGCTCTGCCTGCAGACAGACAGCAGTCCCCGGATGGCAATGCAGAGCGGAGGCATGAATGAAGGGAAAGGAGGAATGAATGAATGAATGAGTGAATGAATGAACAGCGGGGCGGCGAGATCACGGCCAGGGCGCGAGACGGTGCGGCTGCTGCTTCCTGCCGCCTCCCTGCACTTCACAAGCTATTTTTAAGCCTGGAAAGGGCAGCGATGCTCGGGCAGAGCTGCCCGTGTGAGGGGGTGAAAAAGCAGCCGCTTGGCAAAGAGAAGCTGGAGGTGCTAAAGCTGAGTTCCTCAGCTGCCTGGGGAAGGTATGAAGGGAACTGGGAAAAGGATGGCTCCTGGGGGACATGAGCATTGATGACATCAGGCGTTGATGCAGTGGTAACTGGAGGAGGGCTGGAAGCCATGAAGTATGGGACAGGACCTCCTGAGTGGGGCCGGTGAAGGGACACAAATGTTTCCCATCCAGTTGGGATAAGTAAAGAAACTCCCAGTGAACCACTTCGCCTCCCACAAACACTTCCCGTGACTCAGTTTCCCAGTCAAAAGCAGAGCCAGTGAGGGGACAGCTTCTGCCTAAAGAACACTGCCTGCAGCCCTCCTTGGAGACACCGTCCCAGTGGAGATGGCCTCTGGCAGAAACCCTGTCCTCCCCAGCTCTGCCCAAGTGTCTCCCACAGGCCAAGTGTTCAGGAATCCTCTGCATCCTGCAGAAACTGCAGCAGTCCAAGAAATGCCTCTGGTCCCACTGTGCAAAACTGCAGCAGTGGTGCAGAGAACCAGCTAGGGCCAGACCTGAACCCTGCAGACCAAGCCAGACTCTGAAGAGATGAATCCCTGTCCCAGGGAATGATGTGCAATGATGTGCACAGGAGAGGACCCTCAGGAAGGGAAGATTGAGGCCCTGTGGATATCAGCACAGCACCTGCCCAGCCTGGAAAATGATGAGCATTTAGCACTGGGAGGTTGGGGGGGATCTGGGGGACGTTTGCTCCTTTTTGAGCTGTCCTTTTTCCTCTCAGGCTCCTCCAGCCCCAGCCAGATGCCCCCCACGTCTGCTGGAGCCTGCAGCTCCTGGCCATGGGGCCATCCAACATCGCACGTCCCGGCCACACTGCACCGTCCCGTCCGCTCGCCGCCGCTGCGCTCCACGCCGCCTAATCCCAGATGTCAGCAGATCCTTCCCCAGCCAGACACAAGTCTGGATCCCCTTCCAGTCACCTCCAGTTCAACCCTGCATCTTTCCAGTTGATTAAAAAGGAGGAAAAGGCAGCCAACTTTCCCCGACAAACCTCCGCGCGTCTCTAGCCTAAAATTCCTGCGCCCTCTAGTGAAGCCGAGACGAACGTCTCGACCACTCGACGGAGCAAAACAAGGGAAAGCCGATGAGCATCGGTGCATTAAGAAGTTGCTCCAGAGCTTCCAAGAGACAAAATCAACCATGAGAAAATGCTCGGCTTTGCTAACACCGAGCTGCCATAGCCCAGCTGCAGTGGGTGTCTGGCCAGGTGGCCTTGGTAAAAGTGGACAGGAATTTTGGGGATGCTGGAAAGAGTCCCCATCTTTTTCACATATTGATATGTCCCATAAGAGCCAAGTCTTGGGGTTTGCTCTGCCAAAGGACATTCATTTACACCCGTACACACGCACTCACCCTGCACCCAGGGAGACACCACCACCCAGGGAGTCTGTCTGGAAACCTCTGAGTCCACTGCATAGTGGAAACAGGATATTTAAAGGTTTATGGTTTTCCTAAGGCAGAAAATTCCTTCTCAGCTCCAGGATCTCCTGGAGAGATCCAGCTCTATGTGACAGCGAGCTGCCACCCGGTACTGGCTGGAGAATACTGCAGCCCAGTCCTTAAACTACACCAAAGAGGAGAGGAAATTCAAGTGAAGAGCCCTGAGCTTCAACCCAGTGTTTTCATGCATAGCAAAGGCTTTAGTTAGTGGCTGGGGTGGTGAGAAGCTAGCAGGAACTATGCTTCTCACCGTTACCCCTCCTTGGTTCTGGCCAAGCCTCTAAAAGCACCAGCTTCAGCCCCTGCCTTTTGCCATCCATGATCTGCAGGTCTCCTGCTCCCAACCATCACACCAGCATGGCAAAGAAGGAATGGAGCTTTTCCTTCCTCCCTTTTCGAAGGAAAACTTATGCTTTGGGATCAGACACCTGCACCTCATCCAGCCCATGTCAGCCAGAGCTGCTGGCCTGACCAAGCGAAGGCACAATGAGTTAGGAGATGTTTTCACCAACCAGTTTGGCACCCACCATCCGTTTGGCCATCCAAAGCAGCATCCAAAGCAGAAATAGTACCTGGAGATGTACTATTTCTTCCTCCATTTCAAAAGACCAGGCAGTGTTTGTCCCAGCCCTGTCCTGTCTTCACGTTATAATGGATGTCTTCCTCTCTCTGGCATCAGACACAGGGCAGCCAGACATGAATCCCACTGCCACGCTCCAGTGGGCTTGTAAACTGTGACGTTTTTGGAACGGGATGAGAAGGTTCATGGGCAACAGGCTGTCTTGGTACTGGGAGTGTGAGCAGAGGGAAAACACAGCAAAAACAGTTGTGAACATTATACAAGGAACCGCAAAGAGGAGAGGACCTCCACAAAACCCCACTGCTGCCCTGACATCTCACTGTCTGTTTATAAAGGGCTTTGCTTTTCACAGGCACACAGCAAAGAGCTGATGTCTTTTTCCCCCATGCTGTAATGGGAAAATGGAGCACATGGACCACTCCATGGTCTCCTGCCATGCTCCATCACAGGAGGAATCCAGGCGCATTGAGAGGGAAAGCATAGCACTGCCTGCAGGTGAGGAGTGTGGAGACGAAGGCAGCAATCTCTCTCAAGGAGAAGTGCAAGAGCCCCATGAACACTGTGACCTGTCTCCATAGGGAATCTGGATCCAGTAGCTGGAGTCTCCAAACTCAGCTCAGCTGAAGAAAAGGAATGGAGTGCCCTTGCAAAAGGCAGTAACACTGAAATGATTCACCAAAAAATGTGCTGGAAAAAATGCACATATCATTTCCTCAGCATCCTCAGGCCACGTTATGACGATCAAGCACAGTTCAGGGCTGCCCATATGCCTAAGTGTTGGGGTTATTTTACATCTAGGGTTGTGAGAAACTCCAAAATTTAATATTTCCACTTGTATTCAGAACAAAAACTAGCCCGAGCACACACATTCTCCTACAGCATAAAAATTTCCATATCCAAGCATCTCTCCTATAAACCCTCCACATGGCATGAGAGACCTCACTTTTCGTCTGAAAGCCTTTAACAGGCTGTCAGGCTAAAATAATGATGCACAGGCTGGAAGGGCAGAGCAAGGAACACGGAGAACACCCTATATCTGTCTCAGCATCCCCATGTGCAAAACTGCCTTGTATCTCAAAACCCAACGTCATCAGCAGCAAAAGGCTAGCAGTTCCACTTCAGCAATTTGGG